TACTGTGCATGAAGCTTAATAGCATCTGGTAGCATAGACAATAACTGACCAACTTTCTCCCTTTGTTGAAAAAAGGTATCATACACTATATAGTATTAATAGTTGACAGTAAATAATTACCAATTTTTTATTTTGATGAAAGCTGTAGCTGCTTCTTCCCAACATTCGGCCTGCTCATATAGAGCACCAGCTTCATTAAACAACTAACACAATAAAATTAGTAATAATGGAACTTGTTAATAACAACAATATGTCTTACATCAATATGCTACATATACATAAATGTACATGTATATTGAATTACTTTTAGATTATCAAGAATGGTAGCACAATCTTTTTTTAGTTGCTTATCAGGACTAGTGTGAGCTAATTTTTGATTACTGGGTCAGTAAAACACATTGAATCATTATACCTTCTCATGTCACCAGTATAAAGTGATGCTCTTGCCATTCCAGCCACACACAGGTCATCGTGAGCTGTAGTCTACCAATAGCAAGTGTCTTTAATGAACAGCAATGCTTATATATTTTATTTACCTTTGGATCATTTGTAATACCCTTCTCATAATTTACTAGAGCCCCAGCATAATCACCACTAAAAACAAGTGTATCAGTGTAATAATATATTCCTAAATTTGTTTTCACCATCTTGCATGTATAACTGGGTTCTTATTAAGACTTATAGAGGCTCTCTCTACATTATAATGCTTCTAGAGAATTCTTTTGGAGTGTGTTTCGGTGTTCTTTTAAAATAGGTTAATTTCTTTACATAATAGCCCATGGCTTCTTCCAAAAAATGGCTCCAAAATCACCTAAAATTTCTACTACATTTTCTGATACAAATTGGTACCTTTATGCTATGTAGAAGTTTGACTTTTTATACTATTGAAAATCCCACTCTCATGATGCAAATTCTACTCTACATTGCAAGGTGATTAGTAATTTTTTACGTAATAACATTTAAAATGCAATGTAGAGTAGAATTTGCATCATGAGAGTAGGGTATGGATAGTCAGTCGTTTAGAATTCTACTTGCTCCTTGTTTTTTACAAATTAGTTCTAGAATCCTACTCAATCTTGTTTTTTTATTCATTTAGAGTACAAATATTAATTTTAGAAATTGACCATAACTAGTAAAATCTTAGTGTGAATCAGCTCAGTCGTTCAAAATCCTGCTTGCTCCTTTTTTCCATTATTATTTTACAAATTAGTTCTAGAATCCAATTCATTCTTGTTTTTTAGTACAGAGTCTTTCACCCAGTTTCACCAATAATGAAAGTTCTTCATTTTTATAATTTTTTCTAATGTATATACATGTTCTTATGTTGTGTAGCAAGTTTGAGTTAATTCTGATCAAAATTGGATTTTTATGAGATTTTAAAGTAACTTTAAAAATGCTTGTCAGCTGACTTAGCATGCTTATTAGAGATCTCTTAATAGTCTTACCACACCTTTTATGTCTATGAGTAGTATAGGTGTTTATATTATAATAAAATATAACCACATCAAATGAGTTTATGCATTACAAGATAATAACAAAAATCTGTATTATGATAAATATTCCTAATGAATAGTTTTACAAAGACATATCCTAATAGGTGTGTATTGTGTAAAACAAATGATACTATAATGCATAATATTATAAAAAGCAATAATTTGTATATTTAATCATTAATAACATACCAGCAAAATTGATTTACAACAGCAAGTACAAGAGAATGCATAACATATGCACTTACATCTCACTCATATACTACAATATTAGCTTTCAAGTGGAAACCACTATATTATCATACTTCAAATTCCACAAACACATGCATAGCACTGCATTCACAAATGCTGAAGATGAAGTTTAGCTCTTTGCTTTTGTGTGTCATACTAATGATTGATAAAGGAGAAGGATCTTATTGTATAGCTGATCGTAGTAGATATAAACATGTACCATCACCATATTTAAGGGTATGCTGTAACAGCAGTAACTTAGGACAGACTATTCGTATGAGAGAAGGAAGAATGAAGACCATCATGGTATGTCCTAATGTAAGGCCACAAGCCTGTCCACCAGGTAAGTCAAACTAATAGTTAAAACAATAATAATTATTAATTGACACTATAAAACTAGATAGTAGAGACTGTAAGAGTTTGTTTGACAATGGTATTGCAACAAGTGGTGTTTATACTGTTAATCCTGATGGAGGGACTCCATTTGAAGTTAGTTAAAAAGCAATTTATAATTATTATACACTATTGGATCACAGGTATACTGTGATATGGAGACTGATGGTGGTGGATGGACTGTATTTCAGAGGAGACAAGATGGATCTGTTGATTTCTATAGATACTGGAATGACTATGAGAATGGATTTGGTAACCTTACTGGTGAGTTTTGGTTGGGACTGAGCAAGATTCATCGCCTAACTGAAGAAGGATCAAACACACTAGGAGTAAAACTGGGAGACTTTGAGGGGAACACGGCTTATGCTAACTACTCTACATTCAGTGTTAGTGATGGTAGTACTGAATATATACTAACAGTAGGAGGATACTCTGGTACTGCTGGGGATGGATTGATTACTGATCCTGCATATGGTCATCAGCACAATCACAATGGAATGAAATTTTCGACAAGAGATAATGATAATGATCAAAATGTTGGAAATTGTCCTGTTGGTTTCAATGGTGCCTGGTGGTTTAATTCTTGCCTCCAATCTCATCTCAATGGTCCTTATTATACTAATCCAACTGGAGCTAGTGACTGGGTTGGAATCATATGGTATGATTGGAAAGGTAATAACTATAGTCTCAAGTTTACAGAGATGAAAACTCGTCGTAACAATTAACTAATATTAATAACAAACTAATAAGTGTGTATGTGATGCTGATGTATTACAATACTATTTTAATTGTTGAATTTTAGTAACTTTTTATTAAAATAAATATGCCAACAACAATCAAACACATACCGTAGAGCGCCTTATTTCAAGGGCTATAAATTTCATGGATTTTGTGATTTTTTAAAGAATCACCAAAATTACATGCACTTCCACAAAAATCAAATTAATACAGTACAAAATGGCAGATGGCATAAATTCGCAAAAATTAAATCCACAAAATAAAAATCCACGGAATTTATAGCCCTCAAAAAAAGGTGCCCTATGGTAATTGGTGCCATACACTAACAATACCATTGCAGTGAGTGGTTAGTGTGCTATTTTTAGCAACACCATTACATAATAATTGCATCTCATAGATATACATGTACTTTTGAGCTAATTTTTATCAAATTTAGATTTTTTATGAATTTTAAAGTTGCTCCAAAATTGGGCCAAAGTGAAAAATAGAGAGTTTTCTATTATAATAATTTTTCTAACACATATACATGTACTTATATTGTATACAAAGTTTGAGCTAATTTTGATCAAACTGAGACTTTAAAAAATTTTTTAAATTGCTCCAAAATCAGGCCAAAGTCCTTGTGCTAAGTACATGAAAAATATAAAAGAAAGAAAGC